CAGAGGCACCTATGAATCTCGACAATTTGCATAACAACGATAGACGGGGAAAGAAGAAGTCAATTGGCTGATAAACACAATGAGTGGGTGATGATGTGGGAGGATCGACGTGGACGCACTCCCTGTAGGGAGTCAATTTATATGGATCAATATTTAATTACGGATGACTACTACCAGTGTTCAACTTGAACAATAATACGTTCCTATTTGCTGAGGAAACACGAACCCAGAGAATTCATCGGTGCTGAGAAAGATTTCCACCGTCACAACTGCATCATCCCCTGACTCATGGACGAAGAGAACACACTTCTCGTTCTTCTTCAGTTGCAGTACCAAAACCATTACAACAACCACCGTCTATACCGAGTTACATTTTGCAGTCGTTCCACTTAGGGATGCAACCATTTCAAATAGCTTCACAACTGTTTCAGATGTCATCGCCTCCATTTTAGATGCCACCACAACAGGTTTCAATGCCATCACCGCAGGGTTTTATGACCCCTCTTGGCGGATATTACAATTCCATGCTTGTAGATTTAACATGGGCTTCATATGTTGCTTATTTGACGGGTGATGCGCAACCAAAGACTCAGACACCTCCGACCTAGTTTTTGCATCCATCGATGTCTATTTTTATAGTTTTCACAGTTTTCTATGAACGGTGGGATGGTCAGTCATACAACTCAAGGGTCCTTATTCTTTGGAAGTGGTACATCGTCATCTGTCCCTGATCAACAAAATGTACCTACTACTACTGTTGCTGCTAATGATGATGATGAGGGTGAGGAGGAAGAACAACTTATACGAAGAAACACTCATTAAAATAGACAACCACCGCCATGTGGAACACATTCGAGATGCAAATATCAATATATTTGTTTAATTTGTAATGTTTTTATTTAGTTTATTTATTTAACAGCAAATGTAATATTTTTATATAATAATGGCTTTATTTATTTATTTTGGGTCTATTAATTAATTTGTTGAATTATTTTTATTTTTTAGTTTGTCCAATTTTTGTACTTAATCTTTATCTGAGTAGCCCATTACTTAAATGTAAACGAAAATGAAATAACACAAACTGATATTTCAGAAAAAACAATTTCATCAACATTACATCAATTGTTACGTGATGATAAAAGAGATGAACATTTTTCCTATTATGGCGTAGGTTTCTACAATGGCCACATCTTTTGTTTTCTTTGGACGTCTCTCGAATATCCATATCACAGTGAATTCGAGTGGATTTTGGACGATATGCTTCCCATAATAAGGACAGATCTGATACAATCGAAAGCCAATTCCAAACCTCGTTTGGGTCTTTCTCAGAATTTTGATTTTGAGAATCAACCATCATAGCAATATTGTCATCGTTGGAAAGTTCAAATGCTACATAATTTAACGGAAATACTGCTGTTGGAAATCTGTAGTGAAGTGAGGACAATCTTCTAGTACTTCCAACATGAACCTTCCTTGAAATTTTAGTGATAAGCTCCTCGAGAGTGATATTTATCTTAAAATATATTCTAAGAGAATTATTTGATGCAAAGACAACGTTTGTTTCAGCTTCCCTAATTTCTCCATCATAGTAAACAATAGTTGAAATACGTCTTATTTTTAGAGTTTGAAAGTTTGAAAGATTGAGAGTCTTATATCTGCAAAAATAATAGATTAACTATGCCTAATTAAATAAATAATATACGAACTTAAAAATAAACTAATGCTAAAATATTTAAAAAAAAATTCACAGTAAATTTAATAACACAATTTAACATTGTTACCTTATCGGGAAAATGTCTCAAGATTTGATCTCGCCTTCCATTTTATAGCCGCACAAAATAAAACAAAATCATTAGTACTAAAAATTTAATCCAATAATTAAATTTAAAATGAAAATAATATAATAAAAATTAATTTTACCTTTTAAGAACTATAACAAAATTTACTTAGTTTTATAGAAGAAAATTATAGAATAAAGAATTTGAAATTAAATTTTGGTGTGGTTTTATGTTTATTAACGATTCTATTTATAGGGGAGGGATAAGTGATTCGTAGGGTTCGGGTAATGATGGAGTATCCAATTTTTTAAGGAAATAATGGAAGACACATATCTCCTTGTGTGTCAGAACCCTAGGAGGGCGCGAATATTGATATGCGTTTTATCCCTACGTGGTGTCAGCTCGAACAAACTCAAAAAAAGCGTAAATCATCATTCGTGTCTTTTTATCGCGTTGTCACAAAATATTTTAGATAGATAAAATTAAGATGAACGATACATGAAAATAATTAAATGATTGGGTGATTTTTTTGGGTTAAAAACGCCGATTGGTAAGTGCACAAATCACAAACTAAAATGGGATTAGATAAATAAAAGATGAGCCCATCGGTCGCAAAAGGCACAGAGGGTGAAGCAAAGACATTGAAGGCGGCGTAAAAAGCGACGTTTTTCATATTTGTTTTTCGCTTTTCTGTTTTACGTAAGGCCCCACATTTTTGCACTTTTCCCTTTTTCTCTCCCTTTGCTTTGTTTTTCTCAATTTTAACGTCAAAATATTTGCGTAATTTCTCCTCTTCTCTTAATTGAAAAAAATATACATATCTTTATACAAAGCCATTAATTTTATTAAAAATAAAACATATTTAGAATTATAATAAAAATTTATAAGTATAATGTAAACGTAAATAAAATTATAATTAAAATATTTTTTTATAATTATTGATATAAAAATTAGTCATCTAGATCACACAATGACTAAAATAAGAAAATATTAAAAAATAAAATCAACGCTAAAAAAATAACAATACAAACGAACTAAAAAAGGGGATGAAGCTATTAAATAAAGGTCACCAACAAATCGTAAATCAGGTCAAGAGACGGGAGAAAACTACCCCGAACGTAAAAGGTGTATCCAAATCAATCCGATGATCCAAAGCAAGAAAGATCATATGATAACAAATAAGCGACATCTTGATAATCATAGCAATATCAAATACAATAATGAGAAAAAAGATAAACAAAAATAATATCAAAAAGCGTAAACTAACAAAAGGAAGAGAAGAACATATTATAAAGACAATGACATGTCACAAAAATATAATTATTTTTATGATTAATCAATAAAATTGATATAAATTATAAAGAAAAAAAGGAGCGGGAAGAAGGAAGAAATCGGCTAAAAAATATAAAATTTTAAATTAACATAAATTTCAATAGCTTTAATAAGTTTACAAATTTATAAATTATAATGTATTTTTATTTATATAATTTAAGAAATGACCCTGCAGTACGTTAGCTCCATTCTTAGCCGCTACATTTCCTCCCATAAAATCTTTCTTTACTGCTGATTAGGATGCCACTTGGCGCCCATTGATTTTGCAATAAACAAAATAAAAATATTTTAAATAATAATTAAAACAACTACAACTACAATATAAATATAAATATTAGCAAAAAAAATTGAAATATTAAAATGCTATAAATAAAAATATTATTAAATTTAATAAATTAAAATACAAAATTAAAATATAAAAAAATTATAAAACGATAAATTATAAATTATTAAAAATATTTTCTATAAATTATTAAATTATAAAAAATAATAAATCATTAAAATTATATCAGGAAGTATTTGGCATTACAAATATAGTTTTTAATAAATTTATAAATTTATTTTATAATTTTAGTATTTCATAAATATTTTAAATAATTATTAAATTCTTAATTTTTAAATATTAAAGAAAAACAATTAACTCTTAAACTTCCAAGAAAAATCAATTAAATTCTTATTTTTTAAAAAATTAATACTATCTTTTTTTATTACATCATCATTTATATATAAACTGCTACATCTACAGCAATATATCAACTATTAATGTTAGTTAAAAAATTAATTAATATAATTTAAAAATTAAATTGAATGTACAAATTTTTTTGGTAAAGAAATTGAATGTACAATTTTTGTTGAAGGATTAAATTGATTTATGTTATGTGAAGCGAGTTTAAGGATAAAATTATCCTCGAAATATTAAATAATCTATTTTTTGTAAATTTATAAATCTATAAATCAATAGGCAATTTTTTATGATAGAAATAAGTTGACATGGCCTATATTTTATAACCCTGCCAAAGAAATCAAAAAAGGTTCCCCAAATAGACAGCTTTTCTTTACGAATATTATAATAGAAAACCAGTAAATAAGGGGTGTTTGGATAGGGAAATATTAAATTCCCATGAGAATGGAATCCACATTCTCACGTTTGGTTAGCTTGAGAATTTTATTCTCGGTAATGTAAGATTACCAATAGTGGATTTTTTAGGTATATTATCGGGAATGTCATTACCTCCATTTCCTTAGGTATTATTGGATTACCGGTGTTTTGAACTAAAATGTCCTTAATTTTTTTTTTTCAAAAACATCATTCTTCTGTCATTGAATAATAAAAATTCTACGAAGGTTAAATTATAAATTTATCCTTAAATTATTATAGATTTACAAAAAAATATATAATTAAAATTTTATATGAAATTCAGGATTAAAATAAAATTTTACTCTTTTATTAAACCTTTTTATACTTTTAATTTTATAAAAAAAATATATATAAATATTATGAATTTAAATTTTAAAAGAAATATATAAAGATTTTTCAACTTGTAATATTATACAAATATATAATAAGGACAATTTGGTCAAATATACATTTCAATAATCTTTTATTCCTTTAACTAAACACAGTAATCTTACATTCCTGTTAAACCAACCAAACACAAAATATAATATTCCCAGTAATTCTATTCCCTGATAATCTTATATTCCCACTATAAATTTTACATTTCGTTAACCAAACACACCCTAACGTTTTAATATTGAACTCTGATCCTTCACGTTCTTTATGCTTTATCTCAGACTTTTTTTAATCAAAATTTCCGCTTTCTCTGTGTTTTTAAGGGGTTGTATGAGATTTTAGTGAAAAAGACTCAAAAACATTATAAAAAAGTTGCTTCCTTTCTTCTACTAAAGACCTCCTTTTCCTCGTTCTAACAACACTTTTCTTTGTGTAAAGGGTAATGCTTCTTGCCCTTCATAGTTCCAAAAACATCAAAATATTTATGTGAAAAAATGAGCGGTGGAGATCCAGCTTTCAAGCTCTTTGGAAGGAAGATTCCTGTGCCTGATTCTCAGATTCATGTTGGGGTGAGCTAAGCTTTTACATACAAATTCAAAGTTTATTCCTTTTATTGGTTTTGATGGTTTGTTTTCCTTATTGTTTCTGCTTATGCTTTTCATATTTTCTCAGTGAAGTTAATTACCCATTTCTGCTGTTGTTGCTTTTGTTGGGAAAGTTTTGAGTTTCTTCAAGCTGTGTTATGGTTTCAAAGTTGAAGTTTTTCAGCTTCAATATTCACCTGTCTTGATCGGAAGCTTCTATTGAGTTGAAGTTGGAATGATTTTTGTTTGCTTTAATGGTATATGAATGAGTAAATGAATAATGAAATGGTTTCTCTTTTGATATTTTAAATGCTTTTTTTGGGGGTTTTAAATGAACTAAAGAAAGCCATAAATTTCGCAAAAAAGTGGGGTCAAGTTTTGCTTTGGATGCTCCGGCAAGTAAGCACATACAAATTATGTTTAGTTCTTTTAATCATTTAATTGTCTCTTTTTTTTTCATTTGTTGAAAACTTTTGGATGATTTTGGCAGTAGAGATTATATGTTTATCAGGAAATTTTCTAAAACATGTATATGTGTGTTGTGAAAGGTTTTCATTTTCAGAAATGAAGATACAATTAGATTGGAACTCGGATTATTTCTTTTGGACCATCTTTTCCTGAATTTTGAATAAAAAAGTCAACTTTTTGATGATAATTTTATTCTATTTTATTGTGTTTGGTTGATGGGAAAAAGTAGTTTAGTAGAAGCTCTTCATTGCTTGTACCATTGCATAAAGTGATGTAATTATGGCAACCATACTTTCTAGCTTTTTGCCAGTCAAACTTCTTGCAAGATTTCTGTTTCAACATTCATCTTTTGAGTTTGGTCAAGAAGCAACTTTTTTTTGCATTAATTTATTTACGATTTGATGAATGGGTTTAATGACTGCTAATTGTTATGTTTGTGCTTTGTTGAAGTTGAATCTTTCATTATGGTTGAAAATGAGATGGGCTATTTTGGTTCTGAATTTCAGGATTCGAGTAGTGATGTATCGAACCCCCAGTCCGAAACGTCTCACGCGAATGCATCTGGGGAGCGGGGTAAGTTTGTTATGGTAGAACATGATAAGGAAGAATGCCAAGCTTCTATGAAATCGAATGAGATACCGATGAACACTAAGGTGAAAGAGGAACTAGTAGAGACAAATAGTACAGATCAAGAGAAAGCTTTTAAGAGACCGGACAAGATCCTTCCATGTCCACGATGCAACAGCTTCGACACGAAATTCTGTTACTTCAATAACTACAACGTTAACCAACCTCGGCACTTCTGCAAGAACTGCCAAAGATATTGGACAGCTGGTGGAACGATGAGGAATGTTCCTATAGGTTCTGGGCGGAGGAAGAACAAGCACTTGGCTTCTCAGTACCGTCAGATAATAGTTTCTTCTGGCGGAGTACCGGTGACTCAGATAGACGCCCCCGACTCAGCAACTCAACAACTTCTTTCTCCTGGCGAAACTACAACTTCCATGGGAAATGGAACAATTTTAAAATTTGGTGCAGAAGCACCTCTTTGTCAATCCATGGAGACTGTGCTTAGCCTTGGAGACCAGAGTAAATGCGTTGAGACGGGCACAGTCAGTTGTGGAGAAATACGAGGACACTCGTGTGGGTCTTGCATGATGCCTTGCAGTGTACAGGGGAGTGAATTACCCGGAAATGTAATGCCGAAAGAGCAAATAGGTCTGGCAGGACTGAATGAGCCGAACACAATGCATCTACCAAAGTGCTACCCTCTTCCTCCTTGTATTTTCCCTTGGAATCAGGGACCAAATTATGCAGCACCAACTGCTTCCGGTCAGTGTTATTCAGAACGTATGGATGCACCAAACAGCACTACTTTGAATGCGATTCAATGGTGTCCTGCACCAATGGTGGCCATTCCGGGCTTTTGCCCACCAAACGGTCCATTACAGTTTGTGCCTGCTTATTGGGGTTGTGTGCCTGTATGGGCTCCTGGAGGAGGAAATGTCTCAACCAAGGGTTGCCTATCTTCATCATCCTCTACTAGCAACAGTTGCGGCTTGGGAAATGGCTTACCGACCCTAGGCAAACATTTCAGAGAAGCAAATTCTGTCGAAGGGGAGCAATCGGAGAAGTGCATTCTGGTTCCGAAAATACTAAGAATCGACGATCCTAGTGAAGCTTCAAGGAGTCCTATATGGGCTACATTAGGTATTAAACAGGGCGAGAAGGATCCTTTATGTGGAGGTAAAATCTTCAACGCCTTCGAATCTAGAGTAGACGGCAAAGATCATCTAGCAGATGGCAGTCATATCTTGGAAGCAAACCCCGCAGCCCTTTCTCGTTTGCATACATTTCAAGAGAGCACTTAAGCGTCCTCACGTAATATTTGCTCTGGACTCTTGGCGTTTAATATGCTACGAGCCTATCAAAGTCCACAAATTGCATCAGTTCAAAGCTCAGAGGAAGCAAAACTGCGCCGGTTATCGACAAGACAGGTTAGGCAATGTATCCATTCTTTACTTTTGAGAGTTGTGTAAATAGAAGACAGTGATCGAGTCGTGTTCGCTTCATTTCGCGCGCTTTGCAGTCTCTTTTGATGTGATTCGAGAAAGATGAGTGGATTGTGGTTTGGTTTTTCGTATATTTGAATCGTGTTAGGCTAAATGGCCGTTTGGTGTTAGTTTTCTTCTGAAAATATTGTATACAATATCCTCCAGTTTTGAAGATGGATGATGTAAAGAAAGTAAAGTAAATGTGAGGCTCTCTTTTATTCCTTTATTTAGTGTTTTTATAGTAAATCAAATGCACTTCATCACGGAAGTCTCTATTTCTTCATGTAGGCAGACCATATTGTCTTCCTTCACACTTTTTCTTGCTCATCCTTTTTACTTGATAACTTTGGATATTTTTAAGAATAAAATATGAAAAATGTATGATCAAACGGTATAAATTCAAAATACCACAAATAATTAAAACAAGAATATCAAAATTACCCTCCAATATTTATCAAAATAATCATTTTGATCCCTTTTTTTTTTTAATATTTTGGCCCTACTGATGTTTCATTTTAAGACAAAATAACCTTTAATATTTAATTGAATAGTCATTTTGACATTTATATTTTTTTTTCTGGAGTATTTTGACTCTTAACATTTCATTTTAAGGTAAAAGACTCATAATTTAGAACATTAATCGTTAACTAATGATTTTCATCTATAAAACATATATTTTTGTTCTAAAATGAAACGCTAAGGTTAAAAGACTTAAAAAACGACTAAAATGAGTATTTAATCAAACCTTAAGGTGTGTTTGGTTGGGAGAATGTGAGATTTTCATGGGAATGAAATTCACATTCCCCCGTTTGGTTGGCCGGTAATGTCATTTCCGGTAATTTTACATTACCAATAGTGGATTTTTTTGGGTATATTACCGGGAATGTCATTACCTCTCTTTCTTTAGGTATTGTTGGATTACCGACGTTTTATATTAAAATACCATTAAAAAAATTTCTTTCAAATATATCCTTATTATGTTATTGAATAATAAAAATTCTATGAAGGTTAAATTACAAATTTATCCTTAAACTATTTTAGATTTACAAAAAAAAATCTATAATTAAAATTTTATATGAAGTTCAGATGTTAAAATAAAATTTTACCCTTTCATTAAACCGTTTTATATTTTCAATTTTGTAAAAAAAATTATATGAATTTTATGAATTTAAATTTTTAAAAAATATATATAAATATTTTTTAACTTGTTAAAAAAACAAATATATAATAAAAACAATTTGGTCAAATATGCATTCCAATAATCTTTTATTCCTTTAACCAAATATAGTAATCTTACATTCCTGTTAAACCAACCAAACACAAAATACAACATTCTCAGCAATTCTATTCCCTGATAATCTTTTATTCTTACTGATAATCTTACATTCCATGAATCAAACGTACCCTAAGTGTATTTTTCGATATTATGACCTAAAAAACAATAAGAACGTGATCCATATTCCCGAAAACCAAAATTTAGAAACTAAAATATTTTTCATTGATAAAAAGCAGTTGTAAAAGGTTTGCTCAACCCCGGAAAGAAGGGCTCATTTTGAAAGATTGTATTTGTATACAATTCTTTTTCCTTTTTGTGTGTGAAGATCGGATTCAACACGCCAGGAGAAAATCCTTCCTTTATGACTCATTTCCCAAGGAAGATGGCAATAAATCCATATAGAAAGTCATAATCATAATCATAATCATTCTAAAGAACAAATAAAGGAGAGGATAAATGTATATATAATCTCAAATAAAAAGATAAAATTCTTTAATAGCGTTTGAAAATGTAAATTTAATGATAAAAATTAGTTAAAAAATTATAGTAATAGTTTTTTTTAAATAATTTAAGACATATCTATTTAAAATTCTTTTAACTTATAACAATGCTATTTCACCCGTCGAATATAAATTATTTAGAAAAAATAACACTCTTTTCATTTTTTAGACTACCTAATAAGGTTAAACTATAATAGTTTAGAAGTTGTACATTATTAAATGAAATTGATTCAAAAGGTTAAAGCTATATCCTTATTCTTTATAACTTGTGTCAATTTTATTGGTCAATCCAATTTTTTATTCTTTAATTTTATTTAACCGATGACGGCACCGATTTTGATGTTGTTTGTCGGTTATCTTTTTTTTTTAATTTTTAATAAGAATAATTATGACTTTTTTATGACATGTTCTTTGTCTTTATGGCAAGTTTATCTCTGTCTTTGTTCTTCAACTTTGGTAGCTTACCGTTTTTTGTCGTTGTTTTATTTTATTTTTTTCTCAGGGTTGGATTTAACATCGTCACGACTGATCAAGATGACACTTATTTGTTATTAAGATGATCTTCCTTCTTTGGGCCCTCGAATTGATTTGGATACATGTTTTGCATTCGTAAATAGTTTTCTCACGTCGCTTGACTCTGATTTGTCAGTGGCCTTCAGTAGCTTCATCCCTTTTTACGGTTCGTTTGCCGATAAAGTCAGATTTGTTTGTATCGTTATTTTGTTCGAGCATTGGTTATATTTTTTAATATTTTTTTGGTCATTGTGTGATCTAGATGGCTAGTTTTTATGTTAATGGTTATAAGAAAATGTCCTAACTATAATTTGTTTACGTTTACGTTTACGTTATACTTTTAAATCTTCATTGTAATTTTTTATGTTTTCTATTTTTAATAGGCTTTCCAAAAATAGAAAAAGAAAAAACTAATCCTTGCTTTTAAAATTTTGAAAACAAGAAGGGAATGAAAATGTTTCCAATGGAAAAAGCATTGATAACTTTGTCAATAATCACACACTTTTTATTTTGAATTCAAGTAAACAAAGGGAAATTTACAAAGAAAAAGGTTCAAAGGTTCCCCTTTTCTTTTCAGGTATGCGGTGTTATGTCTGAAACAATACCTCATCTTTAATTTTTCTCTTCATAAAACTTGACTATTTTTAAAAAAAATAATAATAAAAAATAATTTCAATATTTTTATGTAACAATAAAATGCATTAGTTTTTGTTTGTAGTTTAAAGAAGGAAAACTTACAAAAAAAATTATTGAGGAAAAATATTGTTAAAATACAATTTACAATTTGGTTCAATGTTTTTATAAATTATCTTTATTGTTATATTAATTTAAGTTATACTTAAAATTATCATTTATATAAAAGAAAATAGAGGATTATTAAAATTTATTTATTTTTATAAAATTAATACAATGAAATGATGAAATAATTATGATTTGATGTACAAGTTATATAAAATTAAGCAACAAATATTCGTGAAGTATCTCTGTCTGGATGAGTGATAAGTATCGTAGTGTTGATGTTTGTTTAGTACGATTCAATCCAAATCTTGGTAATTTGATATAACTTCGGAATACTGCAAATTATCGCTTTACCTTTTATTGGATTAAGTTACTAAGAATTCTTCAAGGATCAAAATATCCAAAATGCCCTTGATAGCCTGTACGATGGAATCACTCCTATTATATTTGAATCTTAAATAATCATAATATAAAAATTTCTGAATACCTCTCAGATGCACCCGAGTCCTAAATGATCCTGAAACATTAATTTCTAAATGTTTGATGAGATTCGTTAGTAATCGAACCTTTTAATAGGGACCTTATCTGAAATCTGATTAAATCTACAAAAGTTTCATGTCCCCCTCCTCAGAACTTTTAAGTCCCTCTGAAGAATATATGGACCCTCTGGTGTGTTCTTGCACGCTATATAACTGTTTTTCATGCTTCGAAATACGACTGTTTTATCTGTTCTTATTTTTGGAAGACTTATCTTATGAAAATTATGATATTTGATTTACTGATTACAACCATGTTTAATTGATATATATTATGGTTTATGATTTTACTGAGAAATATAAATATGTCTGATACTATTGGTTACCATATGAAATTGTTTTATTGGGATATAGTCTGTGTAAGATTCTAAAGTATAGAGGTTCACTCTGATCAAGTTGATAATTTCATACATCAACAAAAATATATTGTCATGGTCGGAGAAGAGAAGGAACAAATTGAGGGAGATTGGGAATTCAAAAAGAAGGGTTAGGGATTAGATCGAAAGAATTGTGAAATTTCACCTGGCTAGCACGTAGGGAGCACGAGGAAGTTAAGTCACAATCAACGGGATTATCAAATGAAGGGAAACAGGCCCAAGTGGAAGAGCCCAAGCCATCTGCAACGGTGGTAAATCAATTAGTAGCCTATGACTGCCAGCTGGAAAGTTTTCTTTTCTGAAATCTCTTCTCCGCTCTTCTCTCTTTGCTCGAGTCCATAACACAAATTCAGAAGATGGAGTTAGAGAGTGTAATGTGCTCCAACAAAATAAAAAATAGTAGTTAATTCCATAACATTGGTATTAGGAGCCTCAAGTCCTGACACATTGAATCTGGTATGCCAAAGAAGAAGTAGACGATGGCTGAATCTGCTGAACTATCTGCGATTCAGAAGCAGATTTAGGAGTTAGCCACATTAGTTAAGCAAACAACCGATGACTGAAACCCTCCTAAATGGTGGGTAAACCAGGATGATCGCATTTTTAATTTGGACAATCAGTATCTGAAGGAGATCAAGCACCAACTCCTTCCAACTTGAAAGCAGTGGGAAAGAAAACTGTCCAGGCAATAGTTATAAATGATAAGTCTAGATTTTCATATAAAATAGATGAGCCTGGAATTTTGAAATCCAAGCCTACTGAGTATCCTACCATGCAAACAAATATGAGGTTGGGTAATCAAATAGGGGAAAACAGTGGAATGCATCAGAACTTAAACAGTCAAGAGGAAGATAGAAGGGGAATAGGAGGTTCTCTTAACAGTGCAGGTTCTATTTTACAAAGACAAAATCAAAATACCTTTCTTTGATGGGGTTAACCCAAGGGGTTGGGTCCAAAATTGTCTCAAGTATTTTTTTACCTCTGTGGAGTCTCGAATGAGCAGAAAGGTTAAAGTAGCTACAATGTATTTAACAGGTAGAGCTGAAATTGATTTGATGGTTATATTATGTACAAGCATAGGGTCCATTAGCATGAGTTTGAGGCAGATCTATGCCATAGATTCAAAGATAGGTCATTCCCTAATATCATCGAGGAATTTTTAGCTAATTAATACATAAGGGCACTGTGGATGAATACCAGGATAGATTTGAGGAACTAAAGCCATATATGTTGCTGCAAAATCCTACCTTGGGCGTGAATTTCTTTGTCTCTACTTTTGACATGTCTTATTTATGTTGTTTTAAAAAATTCACGTTTTAATTACTTGTGTTGTCAATTCAAAACATTTTGGTCACTAAGTTGTTAGCTTTCGTCATATTGATGGAGTGGTACTCTAGTAAAAAGAGTTACATCACTACAGCAAAAATAGTTTTTAGCGGCGGATGTACCGGCGTTTTTACTGAAAACGCCGGTAATTGTTTATATATAGCGGCGTTTTTGAACAAACGCCGCAAAATACTATACTTTAGTGGCGTTTTTATAAAAACGCCGCTAAAGAATCGTAATGTAGTGGCGTTTTTATACAAACGCCGCTATAAACTAGTATTTTAGTGGCGTTTTTATACAAACGCTGCTATAGACACGTACTTTTGTGGCGTTTTAATACCAAACGACGCTATAGACTCATACTTTAGTGGCATTTTTACACAAACGCCGCTATAGACACGTACTTTTGTGGCGTTTTAATACCAAACGCCGCTATAGACACGTACTTTTGTGGCGTTTTAATACCAAACGCCGCTATAGATTCGTACTTTAGTGGCGTTTTTACACAAACGCCGCTATAGACACGTACTTTTGTGGCGTTTTAATAACAAACGCCGCTATAGACTCGTACTTTAGTGGCGTTTTAATACCAAACGCCGCAATTATCATATAACCTAGTGGCGTTTACGTAAAAAAACGTTGCTACTGAAAACTACTTTAACATATCGAAACAAAACCCTAATTTCATAGATTCAGTCTGGGCATCGAAATATATCTCCCCTCCCTTTTATCTCTTCGCATCCACTCTGATCCTTTGATCCTTCGACCTCCATTGTTCGATCCATCTTCCCCTTACATTCAACCCAGATATCTCCATTCTTTTCATTCCCCTCTTTCATTGCTTTTAGACATCTCTCTCTTCCATTTCTCTCTGCAGGCACAAGACGCAACAATGGCTTCCAAATTTTTGCAGCTCTATGGTAAAATTCGGCTTTTAAATTCCTTCAGAAACCGTTTATTTCGTATTTCTTGAGTTTATTTACTTCTAGTTTTGATAGTCTACGATTATAATATCAGCAACAGTGATGTGAGTTTTGAGTTTAAAATAATAATAATAATTATGGCATTATTATAATATGATTAGGAATGCATTACAACTTTACCAATGTAGAAATGTTTTAGTTTCATTTGATTGTACTAGGACTAGTAGGACAAGTGTAGAATGTTTTGTTCAATCATTTGATTGTTAATAGAAATCCAAGTGGGTATCAGAAACTAGTTCTAGTTTAAATTTATTGTAGACACATGTCCTTGTACTGATGGTCCAAGTTAAAATCTCTTGGATTAATGGGTTATTTTCTAATACTCTTAGGTTCGGTGGTTGGGAGATGATTGGTTTCTTTACTTGAAGTAAGGTTTCGAATAGATGAGAATATAAGCTTCATCTTAAATATCCTTTTAATTTTTGCTTCTAATCTTGTTTATTTGCTTCAATTTTTGATTTTATTTCCATATTTGAGTTCTTTCTCAGATATTTTATCTTGTTAACCATCAAGCCTTTTTTTGCAGGTCTCTCTGGATCTTGTGAAAAGTTTATATGCAAAGTTTATTGATTGGGATTCTGAGATGATAGATTATGAGACTGGTATTCCTTCACATGCAACGAAGTAAGTATTTTTTCCAAGAAATCAATTAGTTGGAGTGCCCTTCTTAGTATACAAAGCTGGTAGCTAAGTTGATGTCACTCAAACTGAACATTATCTGTTCAAATGTTTGAGTCTTGTATGACTTGGCACACTTAACTCTCCTTTTGTTTATCTTTCTCCCTTTTGTTTTACTTTTCACAACTCTTACCTCTCTCTCTTTTTCCTTACTATATTATTAAGTTTATTTTTACAACTAAAACTTTGTTATATAGGAGTTGTTTTTTAAAAGAATTATATGCAATTATTTAGCTACATGGTTGGATTCTGCCATAGATTTGAGTGAATGTATATATTTGATAAAATTGGTTTGTTTTTATGTGGCAGCACAGCAATAAGTGAGGACCTTGGACAAGTTGAGTACATAATGACTGACAAAACTGGAACACTAACTGAAAATAGAATGATCTTTAGAAGATGCTGCATTAATGGCGTTTTCTATGGAAATGAGAGTGGTGATGCGCTGAAAGGTTCGTTATCTATTTTTCACCTTCTTGCTCATTACCTAATCTTTTCTCATTGAATCCATTTTTAGGTTCATATTCTCATTGAATCCATTTTTTAGGTTTTCATTTCTGTTGAATGAAATTGTCTTGCTTGAAATAATCAGGGACAGTTTGACTTTTTATATCTTGCTAATGAAAGCTGATATTTTATAATTGAGGGGGTCCAAAATTGAGAATGGAGTTTAATAAGTTATTTTGCCCGTGGGCCGTAAATTCTATGTTTAAGATGAGAATACAAATTTCATCTTTAACATCCTTATTTTGCTTCAAGTTCATAGCTCTTGTAAATTCTGATTTATCATTTCAAATAGTCTTTAATAAGTTAATTTTTATGGTTTTAGTTTTTATTCTTGGAAATAACATAATGACTTGAAGCAAATTGCATGCTTTTAGATAAATGAGCTCAGTATTCTTAATATTTTATGATTCTTATTTTGCTAGAAATAGTTTGAAATTCATTCGGAGGATCTTTAAATCAGTTAGAGTTTCTTTTGGTTTCCAAATATTGAAGACATTTTCATGTAAACTATGATTATGACTGATTTTGCCACGGGTGCACAGATGATAAGCTGCTTAATGCTGTTGCTGGTAGCTCTCTTGACGTTATTCAATTTGTCACAGTTATGGCTATATGTAATATTGTTATTCCTATAAAGAGGTGATTTTATCTTCTATCTTGGTAGAATCTTTTAGCTGCAATTTAGAGATAGATCATAACAGTGTCATAACTTTGTTCTTAATTTCAAAAATTCTGTTGCATACATTTGCTAATACATATCATCCTGACCTGTTTTTATCATCTGTAGCAAAACCGGAGCCATCTTGTACAAGGCACAATCTCAGGATGAAGATGCTCTTGTTAATGCTGCTGCTCAATTGCATATGGTTTATGCCAATAAGAATGCAAATATTCTAGGTAAAAATCCATCCCTTTTTGATGTAAAGAAGTTGATCGCTAGGATGATTATTTATGGTTTCCTGTATTAAATACCGTACAGAGATCAGGTTCAATGGTTCAATAATTAAGTATGAACTATTGGAAATTTTGGAGTTCACTTCTGATAGGAAAAGAATGTCAGTGGTTGTTAAAGATTGCCAGAACGGAAAAATTTTACTTTTGTCAAAAGGTGCAGATGGAGCAATTCTCCCTTATGCTTATGATGGTAATGTTTTTTTTTAATCTTTTGCTCATCATGTTATTATTTTTAACTTCAATCTATTTGTTTGATGGTTGATTTCATTGGCAGTTAGATTCTTGTTTGTCTGCATGATTTAATTTTTTGATGATTGTTGTACCTATGTGCACGGATCGCCTTTTTTCTTTGAGGAATATCTTTGGCTTACTGGCATAAATAACTGTTGCTATCCTGCCTTGAACAATGACCATGTGCATCGATTCGAGGATGGGGTGTTGGAGGTTTGGATCTTGTAGTTAAGTCCATGTTAACCTATATATTTGTTTCAACTTCAAGTCTCATTCTTGTCATTTCATTTTCATGAACTTATTTTTTAGGTTTGGAATTTCTTTAATATCCTTTTTGGGACCTCATTCTAATCAGAGAAGTACTTACTAAATTTAGAAGCTAAAAGGTTTCTTATGGTGGCTTCTGTTGTTTCTGTCTTTATCACAGGTTATCTCCATTATGGGTCTTGATGCTGTTGGGCTATTACTTTATACATTTATGGGACTTTAACTGTTTTCCTAGTTGATTTCCCCCCGCTTTTGTATATAATTTCTGGATCATGCATCGAGAATCATAAACTTGCCTTACCCCTCATCATGCTGGCTTGCTAATATATTATATTTTTAATGATTGGAAAGTTTTTGTGGGGCTTGTAATGTATTAAGATTCACCGATATAAGTTCTTGTTATTGCATGTTAGAAAAGGTAATTTTTAAAAGGACAATAGATATTAGTGACTGAATCGGTTGGTTTTCTATATGATATAATCATTACCTTTTCAGGGCAACAAACAAGAACATTTATTGAAGTGGTAGAACAATATGCTCAATTGGGGCTACGTACTTTATGCTTAGCTTGGCGTGAATTGAAAGAAGATGAGTATCAAGAGTGGTCTTTGATGTTCAAAGAGGCTAGTAGCACATTAGTTGACAGGGAGGTGAAGTACTATCTAATGATCTTTTTGTGTTCTCCATTTGTTTATGTTTTACCTTATTGCACACTTTTGGTCAAGTTTGGTGATGAGTGACTCAGTTCCTCTTATCAACACATTCTGCAGTGGAGGATTGCTGAGGTTTGCCAAAGATTAGAACATGAGTTTGAGGTTCTTGGAGTCACTGCAATAGAAGACTGTCTACAGGTGAAGTTGAGCTATTAAATCCAACTTGCATATAAAACCTTTTTCATTTATATTTAAGTCAAATATACATTATATCCATGGAATGTATTTTGGATGTTAACATTTGTCCCTTTATTTTATTTTTAATTGTTTTAGGATGGTGTACCTGAAACAATTGAAACACTCAGGAAAGCAGGAATAAATTTTTGGATGCTGACCGGAGACAAGCAGAATACTGCCATAGAGATCGCCCTTTCTTGCAATTTTATTTCCCCTGGTAGGTTAACCATTTACATAAATTTCAATTCATTGTGTGAATTACATGTTCGGCTGTTTATGTTGTTTCAAATATCTAGGTCAATTGGAAGGACTAGTTTTCATGGTTCCTAAATGTTTGAAACTATGCTACTTGTATGATTTGTTGCTTGGATTGAACAAATACATTTATTCAAGTTCTCATTTCTTGCATCTCTCTACATGCCTGCAAATACTTCGTGTTGTTGACTGCTGGGACTGACCATGCAGAAATGTGTTGTTAACTTTTTTAACGTAAGATATAATGGATTTTCATATAAACTGGTGATTTATTTGGATATGAAGCTAGAGATCGGGTTTGCATTGCCATGGATGAGGCCTTTTCAAGTGGCATGCCAATTGGAGTAAGACCTCATGAAGCAAAATATCTGTGCAAGAAATGACAGGACGATACTAGATCTGCATCATTGTTTTCCCATATAAATCTGGATTTATCTCTTTGAATTTAAGCGCCTCATTGTGACGAAGAGTTTTGAAGAATGTGTAAGATTAGAAACAAAATATCTTAGATATTATTGTTTATTATAGTTAATAATGTTGAACTACATTATATTTTACGTTAATGTAAACTTTGATTTATTATTATGGATTTCATTTTTCTTGTTATGGATTTTAAGTTTGTTGTTATCGATGTCAAGTTTATTGGAAAATGCTACAGGTTAAATTTGGGTAATAAAAGAGTAGAAAACAACATTTGACAAATTAGTTTTAATTTGCAAAATCAATTTCTTTTAGCTATAAAAAGGTAATTAGCGGCGTTTGTATCTTAAAACGCCGCTATATACCAGATCTTTTGCGGTGTTTGTGGGAAAAACGCCACTAAATATCAAGACCTATTGCGGCATTTGTGGACAAAACGCCGCTAAATATCAACACCTATTGCGGCGTTTGTGGAAAAAACGCCGCTAAATCTCAACACATATTGCGGCGTTTGTTGGAAAAAGCCACCAAATATCAACACCTATTGCGGCGTTTGTTGGACAAACGCCGCTATATATCGTTACCTATTGCGGTGTTTTTTGTTACCAAACGCCGCAAACTTTAGCGACGCTATTTGCAGCGGCGCTTTTTGCGGCGTTTGTTATAGCGTCGCATGTGTTTTTTGCGGCGCTTAAAAACGCCGCTATAGGTATAAAAAAACACCGCAAATGTACAGTTTTGCTGTAGTGCATCTTAACTTAAACCCTAAATTTTAGACAAATAAAATAATAATTTAACCCTTGAAGTTTAAATAAAATATTTATTTGACCAATAAATCAAGTTAAAGTCTTCGCCACCGGCAGTCAATTATCACTGCCATCGGTCGTCATCGATTACCATCACTGACTGTTGACCGTTATCAACTAAATAGATTTAGAGAAACAGATCAAAACTTGCGTGCATGTGTTATGGATGAGTGTTCACTTTATGCATATGTGCATATATTTATCATGAGCTCTCGCTCAAGTTCTCACCTTTTATCTTCATAAAATAATAGAACAATATGTTTGATAATATTTAAGATGTTTTAATAATAAAAAATATCGTGTTTGATCATGTTTCTGTAATTTATTAATAAATAATATTTGTATCTTCTACCAATTTTTATATTACTTTCTTGCTAAATTTTCGTGTACTATTTTCCCAGTCAGAATTCAAATATTTGCTCATTAGGTCTTTACGTTTGCATTGATAAACTAATCCAGATAATCGATATGACAGATTTTTTTATAATTTAGTGTGATCATAAGGTAGTATTTAATTAAAAAATTCTTAGTTAATTGATAACATATACACTCTGTAAAAGGGTTACACGCACCTATATCTACTAATATTAAAGTATTAGAAAATAAATTTGTAGTAAACTCATAACATGGGGAAAATTTGTATAATTTTGATCAACCAACATACATTTTCCCCAATAAATACACATGCTGAAACAAATATGAAGGGGGGGGGGGGGAATTGTTGAGTTATTCTCTCTTTGGAAGGGGGGGAAATTGTTGAGTTATTCTCTCTTTGGAATACAAATTAGTTTGATTTGACATTCAAAACATTCTTAAAATTGACCCATTTAAAGTGTATAGCAAGCATGAAGATTTAAATGATGGAACACAGATAGACCCCCGTTCTCTGATTTTAACATTCAATTTTGTGGCCCTGCCTTAACCACACATGTCAAACCTAAAACTTTAAGAGAGCTTTGCGGGGAAAAAAACATTACTAATCAGAATATTTTTTTTTCGAAATTATATTCTTACGTTTTGTTAATATTTTTTTTGTTAAAATAGTAAAAATATCATTGACTCTAAATTCTTATGCATTAGATAATTCACATCACTTTTGACAATAATAGTTCTAGATTAATGAATTTTTTTGGCTTAGTGTCTAAATAAGTGCACAAATTATACCGTTTGTGTCAAATATATGTTTATATTATTTTTTGATTCATTCAGGTGCCTAGTTACAAACGTTACTTTTTTAGGTGCTCGTAATATCAACGACATTAGTTTTTTGCGTTAAGTGACACATGTCACAATCTGGTAATTTTAAAAATTTTATTTAAAATTAAAAAAATAAAATTATATTTTTATAAAAAAGAGCCCAAATTTTGAAAATCTTAAAAAATAACACAAAGCTTTAAAAACTTTTATTCCACTCCTTATCTCTTCCTTCCTCACCGTCGCAGCACTCCTCCACCACTGCAAGATGTAATCGGGGTTGGTCGTCCCCCATATTCGATGCAAAGAATGAATACAAAGGAGTCTTCCCTATTTTCCATTTACGAACAACAAATACGCAAATACAATAACACAATCAGATTTTTTTCTTTGAGAGAAAGAAAGACGATAGAAACATCGAATAGGGATTCGAAAGAAAGGTATTCGGCCATTCTTAATTTCCAGCAACCATTCTTTTTTTCATTGGATTAAACAGAGTAGAAAAGAGAGTACAAGGTGAGGGTTTAGTTACCTTGTTAGGTTCGGGATCTCTTGATTTCGGTGGCATCGGAGAGTTTATTGCGAGGGTCGAAGCTTTGATATCGCCGGAGTCGGGAGTAGGGTGAAGCGTCGGATGTAGTTTAGAGGACTGAGAGCTTTTGGGTGGTTAGGATTTCTCAAAGTCTCGGTTGGGGGAAATGGAGAGGGTAGAAAACTTTAGGTCTTGCTGTGATTTTCTTGGTTTTCCCGTCCTCCTCTTGCGATGACCGGAAAATGGGAAGTGCTGTTGGATTTCAACCGTCGAGCGGTGGCCATGCTCTTGTAAAGTTTTTAGCATAGTGATGGAGAAGTGAGACAGTGACCGTGCATGGGAATAGGGAACTCGGGAGTGTTGTCGATGAAGCTTTTTTATTCATCCTTCACCACCCTTATAAGTTGTTTTTGGAGAGGGGAAACGGCGACGAGGGGTTGTCGGGATGGGTCGATGGTTCGACAGCGGCGATACCAACAATGGAAGAGATAAGGAGTGGAATAAATGTTTTTAAAGTTTTGTGTTGTTTTTAAACGTTTTCAAAAATTTTGGGCTCTTTTTTTATAAAAATATAATTTTATTTTTTTAATTTTAAATAAAACTTTGAAAATTATCAGATTATAACACGTGTCACTTAACGGGAAAAACTAACACCGCTGACGGTTCGGACATTTAAAAAGGTAACGTTTGTAACGTTAGACACATGGATTGGCCAAAAAATAATGTAGGCGATATAGTTTAGGCACTTATTTGGGCATTAAGCCAATTTTTTTATAATGATCTTTTTCACTCAAAATTATAAATATAATAATAATATACAAAGATTTTAATTTAGTAAAAATATTAATAAATTTGAGTATTTAAAATTATTTTATATTTTTAATATTCATTATATTAATTATTTATAAATTTTTAGGTAAAAAATAATATGACTATAAAAATATAATTATTTAAAATAATCTATACTTTAAGTTATTAAAAAATAGATCTTATATATTGAAAATTAATATCTGTCCACTTGAGAACATAATATTATTTTTTTCATATAATATTTTATATAAAAAAATATGATGCTTATGAAAATTATTTAAAAATATAAATTTAAAGCACTAATTATATATTAAATATATTTTTTCTCAAAAGTAAGATAGAAGTTAAATAGTCTAACAATTAAAATATTTATAATTTAATATTAAAATTTAACTTAAAAAACATATATTACAAGAATAATTTGGTAAAACATATAGTCAAATAATATTATATTTCTCTAACTAAATACTATATAATTTTATATTATTGTATAAATTAAACAAGATATTCTCAAAAATAATTTTATATTATGCTAACCAAACACTTCTAAACAAACAAAATAAGATTCATGGCATTGACGGTTACCAGTAGGAGAACATGTAAAACAAGGTCAAACATAACCATCATAAATACAGTTATGAAAGCTCATGAAAAGATGGTCAGATTCATTCATCTGAGTTAATCAGTCATTCAAACAGAAAACCAAGCTTTGACTCATCTCCTATGAATCCCATAAACACGAGAGAAAGACAAGGTCTGCTAACTCAGCTAGCAGCCATTGCTTGGATAATTCCAAAACTAAAGCAAATAAAACAAGTTTGAAGTTTTATTTATTTATTATATAAAATTTATTGAACTATAGAAACAAAGACTACGGAGATGATGAGATTACTGCAGAAGCACCCAGGTTTCATCTGCCTAAGTTTGTCCTACTCCAAGAAAATCAATGAATTCCATGTTTTTGATCCCATTCACACTTTCCCTAGACATGGAATGGTTGTTGGTCTTATTGGTGCCCACTGATTCAGCTGCTGAAACTTCCGAGTCTGATGAGATTGCAAATTGGTCCACACCATTGGCCACTCCCATTGGTCTTGGCACATGAAACTTGTCAAAATCCCCATTTCCCTTTGTACTGGATGAATCTGCTGTAGAAAAACAACATTTACTTTCAAGATAAGATGAAAAAAAAGTAACTGATCAGTGATCATTATAACTTTTGATTGAAAAAAAAGGAGAAAAAGTAAGATACCCTTTTGGTGAGCTTGTCCAAAACTGGTGAAAAATTTAGCTGATGAGGGAGTTAGTGAGAGGTCAGTGCAAGTAGAAGCAGATTCATCAATGTTGCTTGAGATTGTTGATTCATCACTCCAAGCATTGGTTTGAACAGAAGAAGAAGAAGAAGCATAAGACTTTTCTCCTTATATAAAAGGTTGATTGTTCCCTATGTTTCCTAGCCATGATAACATGCCAATGGTTCTTTACAGCATTATCAGTCCTTCCAGGGAAAATTCTAGCAATTATTGCCCATTTGTTCCCATACAGCTTATGCGCAGCTAACAATCCCTCCTCTTCATCATCAGTAAAAGCTCTCCTGTTAATTTTTGGATCTAGCTGGTTA